TCCCCCCCCCCCCCAGACCCCCCCCCCCGATAAGTTACAACTCCCCTCATAAACCAAGAGGCACATACTGAGTTGGCGCGTTTTCGTTCATGTGCGCACTCTTCATGCACATGCATAGATAGTTCTGGCACTGTTTGTGAACAAAAAGTAAATCCGACCAAGCAAAGGCCCAAAGCAAGCAACCGCATAGCAAATCAAAGGCCGTCACCCGCCACTGCAAACCACAGCACACTAGGACTCTTACCGGTTCATCATGTACCGGCCCCTGCTGCTGCTGTCCAGCAGGGGCCGGTAAGGAATACATTACTGTACATACCCATACACACACACACGTACCTGAAGTTAGCCGTGACGGACCAGGTGTCTCGCGTTACCTTCATGTCGTGAATGATGGGCTTGTCCTGGGGGAGTGTTTTAGGGGGGGAGAGAGGGGGGGGGAGAGATAGGGGTTAGGAGGGAAGGTAAGGGAGGGCGGGGGATCACATGGGGCGAGAGGGGGAAGACGAGCGAGTGAAGATGATGCCAGAAGGAAAGGCCGATACGCCAGATGCTAAGTAAGCACAACCAACCAGTCGGCGGTTGTGAAGGAGAAGTCCTCGCGATGATGTAGTGATGACGACGGCGAAAACTACCTACCTAGCAGCGAAGATTACAATAGTGCGGAAGGAGAGCGGGAAAACTAACGTAATATTCTAGAGGCGGCGAATGAACAACACACTGACGTGAGGAGCGGACGAGGTGACGTAAGCTGGTTTTAAATCTGCTCGCCGGTGATGGCGGCGGAATTGAGGAACCCGAACAAAACTCGCTGATGAGCTGCTGGTAATAAGCTGCTGGTGACATGCAAGTGCTCCTGGCGAGTGGGCGCAAGTGCATGAGCGCGGGGTGGACACTCGTTCGGAGGGTACCGCACATGAAGAGCACCACACACACCCACACTCATAAAATCCTAACCCTAACCAACAAAAGGGCGGTAACCGACAACTGAAAACGCACCTGATTACCGAACGAGCCGTTGTGGATATAGTGAATGTGCGCCATGTCCAGCGCGTTCTCGAACACCGACCAGTGCGGACAATCGAACTCCAACTCACCTGCCGTGCGCAAGCGTGTTTCGTGTGTTTTGTGGTGTGGGGAAAAAGCGGGGGGAAAGCGGGGGGAGATCGGGAGAGTTGTGGGCCTTATCTGGCGGCGGTGTTGGATCCCACCAGCTTTGTGAAGCAGCTTTGTCCCATCCGGCAAATTTACAAAAATGTTTATCTATTTTTTACGTCACGTGTCGTACACGTGCTCACCGTACACTGGCCGCCAGTTGGGGTCCTCCAGCTCCGGAACCACCGGGATAGGGGGCCGCTCGTCCGCGGGCAACGACTTGGAGCCGAAGAACAACCACACGAAACCGCCTTTGGGGGGGGGGGGAGGTGGGGGAGGTGGGGGAGGTGGGGGTTGGGGGGGATGGGAAGTGTACGTGCGAAGCTAGGTTGAGGTGAAGTGGCGGTGATGTACGGCGTGTGCGCCTATTTGGTTTTAGGGGTTTTAGGGGTGCTGGGCTGAGGTGGCGTGATGTCCACCCACCCATACAACCTCACCTGTCATACACCCCCCACACGCACACGACACGCACCTCGCTCCACCACGGGGTACGAGTCCACCACCGGACGGCGGGGGAACCCGACTTCAGGACTCTGGCTGGGGACCTCCTCCAGCGCGCCTTTGGGGGGGGGGGAGTGAGTGAAGGGGGGGGAGAGAGTGAGAAGGGGGGGGAGTGAGGGGAGTGAGGGTAAGACGAACCACTGGCGAATGGAGCAGATAGACGGGTGGTCCCGCGGTGAGGGGGGGAGACCAAGAAATCAGTGGCAAGCTGCCGGCGCCGAAACTTCCTGACCGATGGGGTCCTAAGCTTGAAACGAAGGGGGGGAAAGAGTGTGTGTGTGTGTACGACGATGCGTGGAGAGCGATAAGGCGGCGCATGAGGTGATGACACAGCGGGAACCTCTTTCCCCCCCCCCCCCGGCACCCCCCCCGGCACTGCCTCACCCTCTCCCGTGAAGGCCCAGCCGTGGTACGGACAAACCACACAGCTCTTGCCCCCCGGACTGGTCTTAGTCCACCCCAGGCTCAGAGGGGCGCCGCGATGGGGGCACACGTCATCCAGGCAGTACACCTGTACGGCGGAGCGGAAGGGGGGTGCGGAGAGATTTTAAGAATGCCGGGGGAGAAAGAATGGAGCGGGGGGGAGAAAGTGGTTTGTGGTTAGTGCTGTACATGGGGGGTACGACATCGGGGGGCCCCCGAGGGAACTCGGACTGCGTGGGTTCGTGGGAAGACGAGGGAGACGTGTACGGCTGTCTGCCCATATATACACATACATACACAGTTAGACAGTCAAGACAGTCCAGACAGACAGACAGACAGACAAGACAGACAGGCAGGCATTTGTCGTAGCACAATGGCTACACAGTACCTCACGATATAAAGTTCTGAATTCATACTATTCTACTCGCCGCGATATGAGCGCATACACACACACACACACACACACACACACACACACACACACACTCACGCACACACCTTGCCGTCCTCCCCCCGCCAGAGGGTGACGGTCCTGGACAGGATGTGCACCTGGAGCGGCTTGGAGGTGACGTTGTCAGATAGGGCTGGGGGGGGGCCAGGGAAAGAGAGGGGGGGAACGAGTACGGATGTGTATTTATGTGTGTGGGGGGGGGGGAGTAGGGGGAAGGTCTCGGGCCTTCACGGCCAGGAAAAGGCCTTCACAGGGGACCCCATCGTCATTCGGGTGATGTCCGTTGGGTTTGGTTTCGGAGGCGGGCGGGTTTACTACGCGCCGCTGGCCGTACCCCGTACGACTTCAGTGTGGGTACGAATGTACATAAATAAATGGCTACAAGACCACGACAATGAATATGGTGAAAACCTCTCGTACTCCTTGTACGACATTTTCCCGAGCGATCATCCCCCCTCCTCCCCACCAAATCCCCCAGCTTCGAAACAAAACACATGTCGTACCTGCAGCATACCAGAAATTTTGCAGGTAGGCCTTACGATCTTCCAGCTCCTTAGCCCTCTTCGCGGCCTGGGCGGGATCCAGGGGGGAGAGGGCCAGGGGCCACCCGGGTTTGATGCTGACGTCAGTTTAACAATACAAGAATAATACAAAAGATAAATAACTTGCCTTTTCCTTTTCTCAGGTTCCTCCCATAATCCCTGATTCCTTTATATCCTGAATTACCCCGCCTTGACAAGCCATTTGTACATTATCAGTAATGGTAATATGTCCTGCAACACCTACTTGCCCCCCAAGTGCACAATAAGAACCTATCACACTACTGCCGGCAACACTACTTGCGCTATTAAACAAAATAAAAGCTCTCATAATACCTGCAGTGAATTCTGGCCTCGACGTTTTTTCATATTGAAAGAAGTTTTTGCACTCTTTTTTATTTCATAATGCTGAATTTTATCAACGATTCCTCCTACCGTAAAACTCCTACCGTAAAACCGCCTGTTTTAGCAAGTACCAAAAATACAATAAATTCTTCATAGGATGTTTTTTGTTTTTTCTTTTTGTGCTGGGTGGTGGTGATATTGCATCAGTTACCGCTTCAGAGCGTAATCTTCTGCACATCGTACATTAGTGGTTCTTGCCTTGCTGCTAAGTTAACCCCAGTTTCGTTAAAATTTTCCTGACAAAACGTCAGTTTAAGGAGGCTCACCCACCTTCTTCTGGCATACGCACCCACAACGGACTGCTGTCAAGCCCGGGGGTGGGCCGGCGGGTGGAGTGGTCGTGAGGACGCTAACCCCGCCCCCCCGGGTAATAGAGCGCACTTTGAAAGCAACCAAGGGACACACGCAAGGCCACACACACACGCTAATGCGACAACGATGGTCTCAACGCGTCTCTACACCTCTCCTGCCTTTCTTTCTTTCCATTCTCGGATGTACATTCCACTCTTCCCACGCACCCCCCAACCCCCCACACTCCACACTCCACCCTCCACCCCGCCCCGCCCCCACCTTGCCCAGAGGCTCCTTCCCGTCCGCCCCCCGGCCCAGGAGGGGGGGCGCCGCGCGCGGGTCCCACTGCCCGGGGCGGAGTCCCGCAGCCCGCCGTGACTCGGCCAGGGAGGGGTGTGTGGGAGGGGAGGGGGGCTGCTCCCCCGGGGGTGATGGGGGGAATGTCCACGAGGCGTCGGAAAAAGGGTTTCGGAGGAGGGAGTCGTACCGGGTGGTTGGGTCAGGTGGGAGAGCAATTGACGAACTAGAAAATTCGGCACCATTCCGATATACGTTGTTTACGGATAAGAGGAGAGATGTTTTTGAAAACCCCGAAAACTCCCACGGGGGTTATGCGTGGGTATGCGGGTTTAAGGACACGCGCTAAGCCCCCCCTCCCCCCACGCACATACGACATAGATACAACACACAGACGCATTAATTAGAAAGAGCAAGACTCGGAGCACAACCCCTGCCTTCGCTTCTCACGACTAGAGGCTTCCCCGGCAGCCCCCTCCCCCTTCCAGCGCCCCCTTCGACATCCACTCCACACCAGCCCTCACCTCTGCCGTACGCGCCCTGTTCGTTGGCTCCTGTTGTTGCTCGGGCCGTACAGCGACCTCGCCATCGCCGTCCTCCTCCGTACTCACCTCCTGAGGCCACAGCGGCCGGGGGCGGTCCAGTACGGCAGTGCCGGCACCCAGTCCCGAGGGGCGGGGGCCGGGCAGGGACGGGGGCCCACCCCCCGCCCCCCCGCGGAAAGCCACCGGTACGGCACCTTGGTGTGCCGCCTGGATTCGACATGATGGACGGGGGGGGGCCACGGGGAACGAGGGGGAAAATGGGGAGGGGGGAACGCTTTTTTAAGTTCTCTGCCCCGTCGAGACCTCCCCCCCGTCCTTTTCCGGTTCCCGTAGGTCAGCGGGCGGGCAGTGAATACCCGCACGGTGTGTGTTTTGGGAAACCAGGATGGGCAGGGGAAGCGACCCCCTGTGTCGTACTACAATACGACAGAGCTGCAGAATCTAAAATGAACATGCCCCTTATCGTTGAAGTCAGCTTCACTCCAGGGGGGGTGTTCTCCGACCCGGGCCATACCCAAATTTCCTACAATCCCGTACTGGAATCATAAATCTTGGTGTCGTACTGTGTCGTTCGACTGATGGAAGGATGCAGCACTGCCTGCAGCCTGCCTGTCTGCAGACGAGTAGTATACGGGGCTAATGCACGATGAGGCTTCCTTGGGCCTTTCGTTCGGGGCATTTCCCATCATCATTACGTATATCCACACGTGCGTCAGGATGAGAAATCGCTGACAAGAGAGTTGAGTCAATGAAATGCGTGCACACGACGTGAAAAACATTTACCACCACCACCTACCTGCGGCAAGCGGCCGTGTAGGAGCGCGTGTATGGTGCGTTTGACTGAAGAGAGCTTCAGGGGCATGAGGCGCTTGGGCAGCGTTGGGGTTGAACGGATGATACGGAACTGCGTAATATGCGGCCGAGGGGGGCAGCCGCCGACAGGACAGTGGAAAGGACAGCGGAAAGTGAGGGAAGCGCAGTGGGGACGAGAGTGAACGGGAGGGAAGCTGTCTCGCCACCGCCGTCGCTGGCTAACAGGTAAGAAAATAGAGGTAACCTCAAAAATTCAAACGTGGAGCTGCATATATCGAAAATAATACTACAAGGTGGGTGCAACGGTTCAGCGGCTAAATGACGGGCTGCGATAGTATCTGCGATACGGAACTCATAGCTCGGGCATGCATGGATAACTGGGCTTTTAGTCTACTAAGGTACTGAAAACGGCCCATATTCGCTCCGTCAAGGAACCCGAAACTTCCTAATTGAAGTGAGGCATGCGATTCAGCTTACCGCCTGCTTGTCGTCAGGGTACTCGCGCAGGATGGCTAGGATTGCTCCAGCCTCGATGACGTAAAACAGGAGCCAAAAGAAACTGTAAAAGCAAGAACAAAAACGGGCAGGACAAGACTGGTTGCAACACCTGTCAAAACCAGGGAGCGCTTTACAACGCCCACGATAACGGATTCAGCGCAGAGCATAACCAGCACAAGGGCGTCTTATATAATCATACTAACAGGTTATTTTAGTATACCCTTCGCAAGAAAGCCTTAAGTACTCCACAGGAGCAGAACCTACATTGCGACAGCGTGGTCCCAAACAAACAGCGGGGCAAGCTGCTCATAAAGTTGTGCACCACTGGGCATGTGGTAGCCTCCCACAGATGCGATGTTGGTCACCTGGAAGCAAAAAAGGGTTGTTTCGGCGCCATTGGAGAGGACATCTCCCGGTAAACTGGGCATAGTGGCAAAGTAGCTTACCTTAAAAGCAACATGAGCCATCTCACAAATAACGCCAGCGCCAATGCCCAGGACAAGGCCGCGCAACAACGGCTCAAAGAAGGGGCTGAGCTCAGACGACGACGGGTCTGCAGATTGGGGCTGCACATTTTGCTCGCCCTGCAAACGAAAAATAAATACTAGTAGGTCCAATACATCCGAGTATGGTGACTTCTTCCTCACTTCGGCAAAGTCCGTCCACACAATTGCCTAGAACTTACCCTGACGAAACATCGTCCTTACCTTCGTATCCTCTTTGCGTGCACAGGCGACAACTGCTGCACGTTGCTGCTCCAGCGGCAAGCCAGGCAGGCCAGTAGTACGCGGCCGGCTCAGCGAGCGGTTCGCAAGGCGCTGTAAGCCGACGACCGAAACCGGCGCGCAAGCACCAAAGCGGGGGTTGGATGCCTGGAGAGCGCGTGACATTGCAGAAGCCGACATACTGGAGAGTTCACAAGAACTAGGTGGTCACGAAGGGTCGACGGTCACGAGCGCGCGGTTGCTCTTCTTTGTTTACGCCTTGTAGTACTGAAGGTTCCTAAGAAGTTTGGATATATTTTGCAATTGAATGCTTGCGCTTCTGTGCCGTGATAACCTTTGTGTGAGGTAAACAGAGCGCTCCAAGTGTTAAATATGTGACATACGTTTTTCCCGCCGTACGCAATATGGCGTCGACGTGACAATAAGGATTACTATTGCGTTCCTTCCGTACAAGCTCTTGAACGATATACATTTTTTACAGTTATAATAATTTCTGCTGCATAATGCGTATGTCTGATGTGAAGATGCGGAGTCGCGACGCATTGTGGCTAGGGCGTTGCCAAGCGACAGATAAGCATTGTGTCCAAGGCAATGACGGCACTTTTCCGTCAGGGCAAAACTGCACGACACGAGACAGATATATGCCGTTTTTATACGAAACCACCATACGGAAATTTTGGCCCCAAGCTTCCAAAATCCGAAATCCTTGCTGCCGTTGTCTAACACTACCAAAGCTTATGTCTGCACACCCGCCCATATGCTTGCTAGTGCCGCAACCATATGCTGACGTTTGTAGGCCGTAAGCAAGGATAGCTTTGTCATCACCTCCTGCGGACTGCTGTGATGAAGCTGCTGTAAGGTACTGCATGGTACCGCCTGAGTAATTCCATTACTTCTTTCTTTTGAAAATTTGCTTGGTGTGAAACATACAGCATCAACAGGTTCCAGCTTTCCATCCGCTCTGAGTTGCCCAGCTGTTTTCCGCATCTGGGTTCGTCTTTTTCAAACGGCCTCCGGAAGCGCTGCGACCTCCGGCCAACTGCGATCTCTGGCGCCGCGCCCCAAAGTCTTCAGTTCGTCCTCCACAGACCTCCTGCCCAAGGATTGCCCTTCGCTAACCTCGGCACGCTGCCGGAAAGTTCTCTTTTTGTCTCCACGGAACCTAACGGAGCCTGGTGGGAACGGAAACCATTCGTCCACATTGAATGTCACGGAGAGCCACGCACAGTCGCGCATCAGGTGCCTTGCTCCGTAATAAAACCTCCTGGCGACAGCCTGTCTTGCCGTTCCGCTCCGAATGTTGACCCGGGGTCAATTTCCTAGTGCTTGTCAGAGCTGGACACATTCGGGACCCGGTAAAAGCATCCCGCCAGGTCACAACGGGTTGAATGAACCGGGCCTCGGCGCTGGAGGGGACCGCGGGCGGCCGCGCCATGTGCCCCAGGTGTCCTAAGAGTTGGCGGGGAAGGGGGGAGAGCCGGACAGAGGAACTTGCCAGTCTTTAAAGTCCAGTGCTTTCTCCGACATCCTACCGCCGGAGTGGGGACTGCGGGGCGGTGTATGTGGTGGTGGTGGTGCTGCTGCTGCTGCTGCTGCAGGCCTCCAGGGGCCTTGCGGAGGAGAAGGCCGCTCTTGTGGTGTAAGAGGCTAAGGCCCTTAGTGCTCTTGACATTTTTTTGCGGGTGCTGGAACCGACCCATCCTGCCGAACTTGTGTGTAGTGATTGCACCCACGGGTGATGATGATCTGCTACTACACCTATTGTGCTGGGAAGCCGTGCCGCCGTGCATAGCCTGTATTGAAGTACGATTCAAGTTTTACCTCACGGCCCAGGCGCAATTTGCCGTAGACCCCCATCGCATCACAACCCTGTTCGCAAGTACGCACAAACCCTGAAGACTGCTCCGGCGTACCCCACCAGGGAAGGAAGTAAGGCGGCTTCCCGCCCTTACCCGACTCCTCCGCTTGTTGCCCTAACGTCCTGAATGAAAACCTCCTTACCCCAACCCCACCTAAGGTTGAAGTTCCGTAAGATTATGAAACATTCGAACCCTCCCCCCGTGCACATCTCATATCCGTCGTCTGGGTTCGTCTTGATGGTGGAGGTGCTGGTGGGAGGTGGGGGTGATGCACGGCTCTCCCTGAGCTCAGCCCGCCCCGTGTGCTGTTTCCCGTGTTGGCCGCGGGTTGCAGTGGTCCACAGCGGGTTTCCCGGTGCCATCGGAACACATGACGACACATGCGCGCTGCACGTCACGACATAGCGGTCATCCGCGCTCGCTGTCCTTACTTCGCCTGACCTTCACCTGACAGGAAAAGCGGAGGGTGCCCTGAAACCCCCCTGAAACCCCCCAGGTCATCATCATCCCGCAGGATTTGGCTCTTGTTTGCCTCTTCCTGCAGTACCCCGTACCCCACCCGCGGTTCGGTCAGCTGCGTCGTCCACAACTTCGCGGCCAACACTTCCCCCCCCAGTCACCCCCAGGACACCAACAGCAATCCAGTGGAAGGCTGAGCGCACAAACGAGAGTTAATTTCAGTTCAGTTCGACCCCATGAGTGATCTTATGCCCAAAGCACCGGTGCGATAAGGCCTCAAAGCCCCAAAAACATCCTGCATTCTCTATCTACCATTTGGAACATCCAGTTCATTCGGGACATCCTGTTGCGACCCTCCCCTCCCCTCCCCTCCCCCCTCCCCTCCCCCCTCCCCTCCCCTCCCTCCCTCCCTCCCTCCCTCCCTCCATGTGGACGCCATCATGATCAGCACGCCAAGGCAGTCGGCAGTACATGTAGGAGTGGCAGGTGGCGAGGAGTCCTTCCACACCGACTTCTCGTCCAACCACGTGTGCTCATTCTACAGCCCCCTCCTGGTCGTCATCCCGCAACACTTCCCACCTTCCTCAACCTGCCTCGCTCCCACCCCCCACACACATGATGTGGCCCCCATCAGTTCAGAAGGGCCGCGGGAAGAATCCCTACGTGGGGTGGGAAAGGGTTTTAGGGCCCAGGTGCGTTGTTTGTCAGTCAGTCAGTCAGTCAGTCAGGAGCCGGAAGACAAAGAGGGGATGAGCGAAAGATTACGTACAAACGTCATTTCACGTTCAAACCTGCGAGGGGGTTGTTGTGGCGGCGTCGTGTGGTGACGATAATGCCACCATCAACATAGTGGTTCGGTGGGTTAAGAGGTCCCGGTGGGCTCCTACCTGTCCCGCCATGGCTGCAAAGAGCCCCCCGTCAAAATGACCCATGGCACCGCCGCCGCCACCAGGTCCGGGCGGCGGCCCCATAGGTGGCGGAGGCCCGCCGCCACCACCGCCACCGCCACCACCGCCGCCTGGCCCTGCCATCCCCTGCCCCGGCACCCCTCCGGGCATGATGCCCGGCATGACAGGCGCGATCAGTCCTGCCATCGGCGGCAAGGCGCCGGGGTTGGGAGCTGTGACCGGGGGCATGCCGACGGTCGTCTGGTCGCGGCCGCCGGGATGCATTCCGCCGCCGCCGCCACCGCCGCCATCAAGATCGTCGGCACCGCCGTGCCACCCGCCGCCCCCACGCCCGCGACCGCCGCCACGGCCGCCCCCGCGGTCGCCCATGCCGCCGCGGCCCCCGCGGCCACTGAAAGGCGGGCCCCCCTCCATGCCGTGGCGACCTGCATGCAGCAGCACAGAGCAGCGGCGCACACAGAGCAGCGGTCGACCTGGTCCCCCAACGCGACGGCGGCCTTCTGCACTGGTGGCCTGACCGGCGAGGAGTGTCCGTAAGGACATACGGCTCAACGAGCACCGAGGCGGGGGGGGCAGGAAGAGGGCGTAGCGGGGGGTTTGCCGGGAGGGGGGCAGGAGCTACTGAAGCTCTTAGCCGGGTGAGGCCTAAAACCTAGGGAGGGTGCCGCCAATGTACCCAGCTCGCCACCCCCTGGGGGCATTTCTCTTCCACCTCACCCCACCCAACTCCACCACTTCCAGGCAACAGGGTCGCAACCGGCTCTTGGGCGCTCCGGGCATGAACGGCTGGTGCTCTTACCCCCCCCCCCCAAATGCAGTTCCCAGCCCTCCGCCCTCAACCCCCCTCCCTCACCTCCCGGCCCGCCGCCTCCTGCTGCCGCTTGTGACGACGGCGGCGGCGGTGCCGGCAGCGCCAGAGGCCGGTCTCGGTCTCTGTCACCCACTCGGTCCCTCTCCCAACCCGTTAGTGGGGGCCTGGCGGGGGGGGAGGGGACGGGGACGGGGGCGGGGGCGGGAGTCTCAGGGTGGCGTTGGGTGGGGCTTGGTGGGTGGTGGCGGGGGGCATTGGGGGGTAGCTGGGCCACACACACACACACACACAGAACATAGCACCACCGGTTTCCCCCCAACAACCCATAGAACATATATACATACAAACACACATACACCACAGTCCGAGAGACCTGGGGGGAACGTGCGTGCGTGTGTCCCGTCTGAGTCCCCTTAGTTATCCCCCACACCAGATTGCCAACCCCTGCACCCCACCTGGCTCGCTTGAGGGGCCGCTCATCATCACGTGCAACTCCTGGATTAACCTGCAGTACCGTACGACATTGTGTACGAAGACATGTGAACATCAGGCAAGAGGGGCAAACCCGGATAACACACGACCTCGAAAACCGATTTGGCTTCTTTTCATACTTTGCTGTTAATTCATTTTCTTCCCGCCCTGTGCGGGCTTCCACTTCCCTCCCCTCCCCTCTTCCCTCCCTCCAGTGGTGGCGGTGGTAGTGTTATTGCCGTCCGGCACATACACATCTCCTGCAGCACCCACCTGGTTGACCACCACGTTGATGTTGCGGTACTCCCGGGGTTTGGCAGCCTCCACCTCCTCCGGGTCGGGAGGCGGACCTGAGGGGGCAATCAGGGGTGTGTGTGTGTGTATGTGGGGGGGGGAGGGGGGAGGGAGGGGTCAGGAGCAAGAGTTAAGGTGCGGGGGGAAGGGGGGGATGCGCATCGGCGGGTCACCTCCTGGCACCTCTAAACCCCTAAATCCCCACTCCCCGTTCACCCGCCACCCCTCTCTGCAGTCGTCAATCAACAAGTATACACAAATGCAGATATACAGATATACAGATATATGTACAGATACGTACCGGGGTTCTTGATGTGCTTGTACCGGCACACTGGCCCGTAGATGCAAAACCCAAGTTTATACATGTTGCATTCCTTAATCTCATCCAAGGAGTGCTTGTACGGACAATCCTGTGGGTGAGTGCGTCCGAGAATGTGTGTGTATGTGTCTCCGGAACGAGGGAAAGCTTTTGTACGGTATACGGCAATGCCGGAGGCTCAAATGTCACAATGCCGAGAAGAAAGGGCTCCACTTATCTCCCCTGGGGGAGGAGGGCAGCCCTTGTAGTGGAGCGTATCCGAGGCCAGCAGGAGCCACACACCGTAACTGGTTGGAATCAAACACCGGGGGGGGCCCGGCGGTGCGGTCGTACGCACTCACCAACACCTGGCTCTTACCGTCGCCAGCTCTCCTCCCCGTGGGTCTTCCGACTCCTTCTCAACAGCCATCTCCCCTCCCCCCTCCGCCCCTCCTCCCCCTCATGCCTACTCCCCCCCTCCCCCCCTCCCCCCTCCCCCCCTCCGCCCCACCAACGGGTCCTTACCCCTCCCGCGCCCTTTGCCTGCCCTCCCTTTCCCTCTCCATAACCCTGCTGGCGCACGATTGCCCTTCCCCCCTCCCCCCCCCGAGACACACACACACACCTGGTCGTGACATTCGCCGTACTTGAGGAGGTTGCGGCATACGGGCATGCGGTCCGACACGAACTGGTGCAGGAAGCCGCACGCGTCGCCCTTCATGCAGAGACCTCTCAGCCAGTACGTACATACTGTCTGGCGGGACGGGGAGGGAGGTGAAGGGAGGTGGCGTGCGAGGAGAGGCGGAGGATCAGAAATCATTGTGAAGTTGAGGGGGTGAGAGGTCAGGAAAAGAGGAGCCCGGCGAAGCTGGGACGGGAAAGAAAGAGGGCGGGGAAGTGCGCAGGTGCGTACACGTATGTGTGCTTTTTTGCGTGTGCGTATGCATGTGCGTGTGTTGATGCTGTTTTAGTGTGCAGATGTATGTATGTATGTATGTATGTGCGTGTTTTTCACTAGCAGTACAACGTGTAAGGTATTGAGGTTCCCGGGGGGAGACGTTAAGAGATGGCGCGTAAACTCATTTACGTGGAGCGACCTTAGGCGAGAGGCAATGCAGGAAACTGGCAGAGCACACGGCGGGAGGGAATGCGAGCCGAGGGAATGTCGCACATAGCTTGGATGCACGGACGGATGGTCGATGGCAAAAGTAACGGGCTGGGTGTGACAAATGCGATATCAATACCTTCCCAACGGCAACCGTCATCCCCAACTCTTACGTCATGTAGGCGATCCCCCAACCTCCCCCCTTTACGTTTATGTTTATGTAAGCTATGACCCTACCTTGCGGAAGTTCTTCCTGTAGTTGGCAGGCTGCTGGCCGATCGCCTCGGCTGGTAGGTCCGGAGGCTCGATCTAACAGTACAGGGGCAATTTGACATCATGGAAGGAATTTCATGTTGCATACAAATTTCTTCGCAGGTGATTGCTGCGTGGGTCGCTGTGGTGTGCGCGGCCTCCGTCATGTTTGGAAGGCGTACTGCTTGTATCCTTGCCTGCTGTTGGCCTTGTGCCAGGAGATGTGACGACTCAATCTCCGCCTCAAAGTCAAAGTTGATGTTGTCCGCCATGAGTGTTCGGAAGCCTTAAAAGAAAGTTGTGATTGTGTAGCTATTAAACATCAAGGTCGTAAATTACAAGACATAAAGGCTAAGGCATCTTTCAGGCAAATGCAGCCTGAAAGATCGTTGCAGCAACGCGTGACAGCCCAAACTTTCCGACGACTGTAGAAATGTACAATCCGTTTTTGCGACATTTCTATAGCCCATACTAGATGCCTGATCCTTCAGTGACACCTTGAGACTAGTACGGTTTATTTGTCAGACATGTCGTGCGGCTTCTTTTTCCCACATAGCCCTCGCATGGAAGATTGCCCTCCAGTGGAAAGGCGGTGCTCATTCCATAGCTCCCCATCGCGAACCTGACCTGCATACCCAGCCGCGAATTCTTACTCGCGTATCCAGCCGCGAACTTCCAAGGACACAACCAAGCAGCAACGCTAAGCCCCGGCAGTATGAGGCAGTACAAAGGACAGCTGCACATCATGCATGGCGACTGAATATAAACCATTGAAACCCTGGCGGTGGGAAAGCAGTCGTGACAGCAGATCGGCCAGACTCCCGGCCGCAGCAGACCGCAGCCCTAACAAGCTCTTGGTCCAAATAAAGTCGCACACCCCATCCGTGGAAGTGTGGAGGAGGCCACACGAGCCGCGCTACTCGCTTCATCTCGGCGACGGAGATTTCTTAACCCCCGGACCGGACCAGCTGGCTTCACCAGCGGCCTCCAAAGCGCAGCGCCGCACCACCTTTACTCAAAACAGCACCATGCAGCGTTTTCACACAGTGGATAACACGCATATGCCGTATACACCTTTGTAATTATGCCGTATTCGAGTAACTATGCCGTACAGTGCTTCAGTTCTACATCCACCGACAAGGACAGGAGATGCTTTCAGCCATAATTTGTAACTCGTAATTCATAGTCGCTTTTCCTCCACCTTTTAGCTGCAAAAAGCAACGACGAATCCGCCAACGCCGCCATGCGAAGGTGGCGTCTCTGCCGTGTGTGCGTGGTGGGGGGAGGGGAAGACAACAACAATCAGTACATCTCTTTATCACCACACCTCGACGAGTGCCCCCCCTCCCTGTACATTAACCGCGGTGTGTACGGCACGTGACAGGCAGCAGGCCGGTGTCACATGCAAGGAGATAAAGGGGGGGGAAGAGGGGGGAGATATCTGGGCAGTACGGCACGACCCTCAGTTGAGGCGGTTGAGGCGGCCGGCAAGGCAACACATCAACGTCCAAACAAAGGAGCTGCAGCTGCAGTGAAGAACTTCCTCTCTCGCCTACAAGCGTCCTAATCCAACATGCTCAGTGTCACGGGCACGAGGTAGAGTAATGCTTTCCAGGTTTTGGAACTCTGTGGTTAGAGGCCGGGAACGCTGTGTCACCGGGCATTTGTTGCTGACCTGGAGTTGGCACTTGGGGGCGTCACTGAGTGTTGGACAAGCAAGGTACTAGCCTTTCTTACTAGCTTAGGAGCGGAACCCCCCACTAATACGCGCGGTAATGATCTTATGGCGTACTACGCCACCCTTAAATTGCCAGTTGAGAGCATTCTTAAGGTGTTTGCCAAGCGGCTTGATGCACGGTGGGAGTGCCCGAATACCTTGGGTGACCCCCGCGTTTTCCCCATAGGGATCACCGGAGCCAAGGCTTGTCGCTATATGGACTGGATGGGAGCTGCCCCGTCAAGGGGTGCGCGTCTCGATTGGTTGGAGCACACTAAAGTGACCATGCCCCAGCGACTTCATCATGTGCTCATGCGTTTCCGGTTAGGCTGTTGGGAGTTAGAGGTTAATAGGCCTAATGGGCGTGAGCGCACCGCACGTACCTGCAGGCTTTGTGACTGTGGAGCGGTTGAAGATGAGTTGCATGTTTTCGGGGATTGTCCCGCTTACAAGAGCATACGGGCTAAGTACGATGGTGATCTAGTCTTTAAGGGGCGCAGCATGCGCACCATTATGACTGAGGCGCCACCCCTGGCATTGGCCAGGTACCTCTCGGAAATTTGGGAGCCCAGGCACGTTGCGCTCAGGCGCTTCACCCTGAAGCGAACGAGGGAGAATGAAGATGACCTCCCGCGTACCCGCATCAATACCAATACAACGTCCATGGCCCCCCCGGCTTTTACGGACACACCCGCACTTGTGTGCGGAACTTGTAACTTGCTTTCCTCCCACAACCACAGAGTCTGTGAATATGTCTGTATGTGTGTGTCAACGTGAGAGGAAGGGGCAGGAAAAGGTACGACACAGCGCCGCCCCGAAACCGACACGTCAGGGCTACACACCAGCTGAGGGGAAGGAGCATGCGTTACCAGTCCGAGGGAGCTCAAGCGGCAACTGCAGTGTATCCCAGTCAGTCAGCCTGTTTGTCTGTATGTCCCAGTCGCGCGCGTCTTCTCTTTGCTTTTAATGGCTCCCACCTTTTTAGGTTGTTATAAAAGAAGGGCCCCCCTCAGAGCTAAGGAGCCCCTGAGAGCTGCGGACCAGCTCCGCCGCCAGGAAACGCAGCACCGTAGTACACCGTATTGATATATATACATGTTTATACTAGGGTTTGGCACTACTGGTAACGTGCGACCATTGCCCCCGGGAGATCCCGGGATCGATACCCATTAGGGTCAAAGTCCTTCCGATGGTGGAAGGCATTGCGCCCCTAGTTGATGTACGGTGGTGACCTGGGATAAAGTGAACCTGCGAGCCGACCAGGAATGGAATTGGGCCGCTGACGACCCGGTAGATTCCGTTGGATGCTGGTGGTGGGTGCGGAATCTGAGTGATCCACTGAGAAGTTGACTAGGGTGACTGGACGAGGGTGCCCCGAAATACCGGGGAAGGCAGGGTTTTGCAGGGTAGCTGCCACGGGCGAAGATATACCCCCCTGTTTCACACATCATACATGTATATACGCGCTCTTATTTCGTGTCGTCGTCTTTGAAGAGGGGCCTAAAGCTCCAACATGCGGAACGGGAAGACGCGGGCGAGAAGTCCTGCGACTTTCCAAGACCCAAACCCAACAGACTAACAGCTCACCGAGGGGCTCCCAACTCCCGGGGATCACATCGTGTGGCCACAAACAACTTCACATCGGAAAACATTTTTCAGAGCACAACCAGAGACACAACCACACGCCCCGCGTATCCTCCCCTTGCTTTAACCCGGAAATGGTTGCAGTATTCAGGAGTTACACATGGCTCGTACAACATATGCCGTACAACAGTCTAAAACTGTACGGTAATAGGCCGCGGAATGCTTTCCCTCCTCATTGAACCAAAGGGGGCGAAGAGGGGGCTATCTCTGCTAGAACCCGACCCTATGCCGCGGGGGTTCTACCGGCCCCACTTGCGTTACCTTGAGCCCACAGCACATTCCTCATAGCATCCCGCCGGGTAAAGATTCAAGAAACCAAGTCAAGAAGCGTCAATGGCGAGAGAGCCTCGCTGTGGAAATGAAGTCGAAAAGCCCTCCGTCCTCCAAGAGCACGGCACCAACAGCCCCACAGAGCGAAGACACATCAACAGAAAGAGCTCACGTACCGGATCAAGACACGCCCACTTGCATTACAGCCTGGTAAAAGCTCGGGCACTCGCGCTGACAAGTACGGAGCAGCTCCCCCGGTGCCTGTAAAACGAGGCGCAATCCTGTCGATGTGTCCATCCGCCCATCTGTCTGTACGCCTGTCTGTCAGTCCCATGTACATCCCCTCCCAACAAGCCAGCTAGCCAGCTGCGCGCACCGCCACCTCTTCGCGCCGTGCACGGGATGAGGCGTTCACCACCCCAATCGTTTAGTCGACAGCGCCGTTCGCCGCAGTGACGTACGCGAGCGGGCTAGGGAAAGTGACGACGAAGAACGGAGGTCAATCACATCATAGATTCCCCCTGCACCGACTAGGCGGTTGGCGGATCACAAAACACACGTCATCCATGCCGTGGCACACAGCGGATAGTTCTCTTCTCCAACACCTAAAGGCCACAACGCGAACCGAAGATTGGGAACACAGTTGTTGATATTATTGTACAATACCAAAGAGGCACGGCCCTACCAGCCACAAACCAAGACTTCTCTCCCATTTCACTCTCCCCCCATCCTACACATCCCCCAAGCTCCCAAACCCTCCACTCCCACCCTCCTCCCCCCCAAAAATAGCACACATAATCAGACACGTCACACAATACTTATCCTATATGCGAATGTCCAAGTGCCAATATATCGCAAGTCCGAATGCATTTTGTAAAGCCATTCATCTTCTACGTCATCTAAATGTATCCCGGGAGCCCGTACGGTCGGTGCGATACATGCATACGTGTGTGTTTTGGAAAGAATATTAGCCTGCGCGTGTGTGCGCGCGTGTGCGAGCGTGTTTGCGTGCATTGATGCAGACCTCCACACCAGCACCCGGGGAGCCCCCGTCGAGGTACGGTACTGGCTACATGTGTGTATGTATGTAGGTAGGTGTGTGTGGGCTGGAACCCACGTGCCGGTGCGTCCAGGTGCGTGTTGTGCGGAGCCAAACGCTGATTTAGGGAACCGGAAAAGCAAGGAGGGGGGAGGGGGGAAATTGGAAATAGGCTCCAATGGTGGTAGGGTCCGCAGGATGCCTTGCGACGGCACGGCCACACCGTCTCCCACCCGTAAAACACAGCAAAGCACAGCCATCCATTACCACTACTCACATGCCGCGACACTTTGCACCAGGTCGCACACACGGCTCTCTCCTGGCCAGAGATCAACAACAACAGCACGCACGTACTAGCATACATACATACATACATACACAAACATTCATGCACACACGAACAATCGGCCGCATCCTCATATTGTCCTCCAAGTCCAACAGTCAATTCCAAAGCCGCGACGGTTAGTTAGTTGGGTCCCTAGCCTACGGACTGTGTGCACAGATGGTAAACGACGGGACGGGAGGCGCAGAAGACAATCCAGCCGAAGGCTCCTCTCGGTGGTTATCAAACGTAATTAGTTGCGGCTGCCAACCAACACGTGGGTGTTGACGGTTGTTAGCGAAGTGGCACTGGCAACCCCCCGCATGGGTGAGCTTTCGTAGGAAGAGAGCCAAGATGGGGAAAAGAGGGGATCTGCGCGCGCGCGTCATGCATATCAATCTTATCGCATCCTGTACCATGTCGGTCCAGGCCGTCGTGTGTCAACATGCGTCAATGTATATGTCCTGATACTAGTGCACCTGCATCTGTCATTTCCCAGATGCGTCACGTCAACGAAGCGTCGCCGTTGTCATTTGTGTCACAAGGGGTAAGGTATCCCGTCAGCGGATCACCCTTGTGTGTGTGTGTGTGTAGTGATGCGACCTCGGGAAAGTGGGGAAATGATGGTGTAGAGACAAAGTCCAACTCGCAGCGGAAAGTAACAAGTGCAGTGCTGCCGACGTCCGTCCGTCCCGTTCACGTTCACGTTCACAGCGAATGTAGTCAGTGGGTGACAAATATCAATCATTTCATCTGATGCCGGGTGGGGGGGAAAACAGTGCTAACAGACGTGACGGTATTATGGCCCCCAGTCCTAGCGCGGGGCACTCCTCTGGACCTCGGGCTCCCGGGGGTTTTTATTGCCTCAAACCAGGGTGGTCGAGGGATGGTGATGAGGTTCCCTACGCAGCCATAATACATGCCAGTCAAAAACGCTTTCCCCCTCTCTACCCCCTACCCTCCAGTTGCCTTGCCAAAGCACAGTGCGCCATGGTCCGCCTCCCAAACACCTCTCAACACACTCTTTCCCCATTCCTAAAAAGCCCAACACAACACAAAACCCAACCCTTTGCGCAACCAACTAACCGCCAACCACCTAGCCATCGCCGACCGAACTCCGCAATTTGTGTCCTGTCCTGTGTCTCTTTTGGAACCTGTGACCTGTTGCTCAAGAAGCCGCCACAGGCCCCTAACGCCGTTAGAGCTTCCTTCTCCCCCCCACAGACACCCGGAAATATGAGAGAGGCTCCCCAGTGCGGTGTGCCAATACCGCCCTGGTACCGCGGCTGCAGTTGCGGCTGCTGCGGCTACTCCAGGGCGGAAAGGAGGGGGCAGGGCCCCGGACATTGGGGCGCAACAAGCAAAGGATGAGGTAACCGCGACACGTGCAGAGGAAGGGGGCAGTGGAGGCGCCAGAGGGGAAATGTGCCGTGGACGCTAACGATGGTGACTACCCGCTGGCAGCAGATGCCGCCGCTGCCGCCGCGATGGGAGCCGCGCCGGATGATGCCGCTGCCGCCGCCGCCGCCGCTGCTGCTGTTGCCGCGGCTCCCTTTCCGGGCAACGTCACGTCCAGTCCCAAGTCCTTGAGGCGGTCGTACTCGGCCCGTGTCACCTTGACGCCCCCAGCCAGGATGATCTTTGCGGGCCTGCGGGGACAGAGAGGGAACACGCAACCCAGGTGGAGCAGGACAACAAGAACAACTTCAGCAGCGGCACGAGGTGAATCAGTTCCAAACAGAAGAGAGCAGTCCACAGGGAGGTACTGCCATGGAGGGGAAATGCGCCCCGCAGTGCGCCCCACGGTCCACTTGCATCCTTCCCTTCCTTTTCCCTGCCTGACAAGAAAACACACAGGGTGCTCTCCACACGCATACAAATACACACACAGATACAAAGGCAGGCGGCTGGCAGAGGTTGAGGCCTGACTTCTGCTCCCGGAGTGTCCGGGTACTAATCCGCCTGCCGACTTCTCGGGTGTTTGAGAAGTTTTGAATGTGAGTTGGCCCCCCATCATGTGGACGGTGTAGGACGTGATAATATTATCAACTTGCGAGCTGACCAGGAACTAAGTTGATGCGCCGTTGATCCGCTAGATTTGGTTGGATGCTGGTGGTGAGTTGCTGAACGCAACGAATACATTCTGAAGTCGGATGGGGGTGAATGGATTAGGGTGCCCCTCTAGCAGGGGAGAGCAGGGAACTGCCTCGGGAAAGGGGGCCGCTGGTGAAGCTTAACCACCCTGTAACAACATGGTGGAAAAGTCCCCCGGCTCCCTCCCACCTCCAACCCCCCTCACGCTCAGGTCCACGCCCGCACGCCCACACACCATCCGGGCCCCAATCTCACTTCGCATTACGTTCCCAATCCCACAGCCCCACACCGCCTCCACACTGCATGCAATTTCCGCACCCTCAGAGACTCTCACCAGGGTGGCAGGTCAGAGCCCAAGGGCCTGCTCTCCATGCACAGCGGGTCCGGACAGAACACCCAGGTCTTGGGCTGCGCGGCGCCGCCGCTGCCACCGCTGCCGCCGGGTGCCCCTGAGGTGGCGTCTGACGGCGGCGGCGGCGGAAAGAGGCTGTGGCTGATGACCGCGGCCAGGGCCCCGGGAGGCAGCGCCTCCTCACACTTGAAAACCTCCATTTGACCTTTTAACGGGGGGAGGGGAGAGTGAAGGAGAAGAGGGGGTTATAGAGGTATGCAGAAGAGCCTTGAGGAAGAGGCGGCGTAGGGAGCCCGGCATAGGTAGGGACAAGCACGGAGGGAGAGGCAGGAGGTGGTGGTGGTGGTGTGTACTGAGGGGGCGGATCAGCCACGGTCAGTTTAAAAAAGGGCCAAACGGACTATATCCGTACATACATACCCGTAGTTTAGATCCATCCCTTTGCCGCCAACCATTTCGTAAATGCTCCCCGTTCCCCCACCTCAAACACCCTTTCCCGTGCAGCCATATTCGTATCAGTTCCCTCTTTCCCGCCATTTCTATCCTAAAAATTCTTTATTCTCGGCTGCCGTACCGTCATGTGTCTCCTGGGCTACCGTGCCGTCGGCTGCGCAGCACCGCATCTCCTTCTTCAGTCGTACCATCCGCCACTCGCCGAAGGGCAGGCCGCCGCCGCCGCCACCTCCCCCGGTCGGCGTCACGGGCCGTGCGGCCGCTGGCACTCCGACGGAGGAGGCGGCGCTTTCCGACATGGACATGGAATCCGACCTGGCAACCGATGCCGTCGCCGCCGCCGCCGCTGCGGCCGTGGGAGACGGGCCCGAACAGGAAGACTGCGAAGCATCGTCCGAGGCCCGCCGCGCCCCCGCTGCCTCCCCCTTCCCGACGTGCAACGCCGAGGCGCCCGTAGACGCCTTCGTCGCCGCCGAAGACCGCACCGCGGCCTTGCCGGCGGCCACACCGGGGTTCGCCTTACTGGCTGCCGCCGCAACCGCCGTACTGTTGCCAGTTGCGGGTTTGGTGGCGGCGGCGCCTGCAGCCGGCTTTGCGCCGCTACCGGGGCCTGCTGCCGCGGCCGCGGCCGACGCCACCGGCGGTTTCGAAGCAGCGGTCGGCGGCGTGTTGGTAGACATACGTCCCGAGGCACTGCGCGCGGTGGAGGCGCCACTGCCACCGCCGGCGGCGGCTGCGGAGGCGGAAAACGATCGCGAGGTCGCCATGGCGGGCGAGGGCGCCTTGGCATGCGCTCCGGAGGCTGTTGCTGTCTTGCCGGCAGATCCCGCAGTTGCCGTTGGCGTGGCGGCAGTGGTGGTGGTGGTAATGGCGGAGCCCGCCGCGCTCGTGGCCGTGGAATTGGCCGCGCCCCCGGATGCCGGTGTGGCAGAGGCACCGCTGGCCGGCGTAATACCCTCATCGCTCGCCCGCCGGTGCGCGACGGTGGCGCGAGTCGGAAGCATGAAATGCGGTATGCCGCCAGGCGTTGCCGACGCCACCGCCCTGTGCGCTGACGTCGATGTCGTCGCCGCCGCCGGGGCCTTATCCGCCGCCACCGGCGCAGAAGATGGAGCGGACGCGGACGGTCCTGATTTAGCTACCGATGGGATGCCGCTCTTCCCGACGGCGGCGGCCGTCGCCGGCTTGCTAACCTGTGTCGTACTCTTGGCGGCACCCATGCTGGCGGATCTTGCAAAGCTTGGAGATCGCAGACCCGTCGCCTTGGGGGACTTCAGCGACGCCGCTTTTGCGCCATCAGTTGTCGTACCATCCGTGGCGCCGGTCGCCGCTCCCGCCAACGACTGTGTCGCATCTGGATGTCCACTTCCAGCACCTTCCCCAGCGGTGGTACACTCGCCGTACTGTCGCACATCGGCAGGGTGATCCGCCGCCGCCGCCACTGGGCCCAATGTCGCAGCGGCAACCGCGCCGGCAGCGGCCTCCGGTTCCCCAGCTGTCGACGATACCACCGATCCTTGCTGCTTGCTTCCGCCGTCATCATCGCCGCCGGCACGAACCCCGCTGCTGGGCCCTGTGTAGGACCCTGCACGCAAAACCGAAACAGACAGCCTCAGACGGGTTCGGATCGGGTGGAGGTGGGTGGGGGGAAGGGCACCACTCAGTTGGTGCCCCCTCAGGCAGCAGATCACATGACGTGGCGCGCTCTGATGGCCCCCGAGACAACCCCGAGGACACCCCCCTGGAGCCAATTATCCCCTCAGGCTCAGGGCCCCCTCCATCCTGCCGTTTTCCCCCATCTGAAGACAAACCGACCGTGATAACAGCCCAGTGAGAACATGGACGTGGAAATGAGATCCAAGACAATCCGAATAAGCAATCAAGGACCCGCGCTTTTGCCGGTCCCGGGAGGAGCCTTACCCGTCCATTGGATGGCTCCTTGCTGGTGAGGCGTCCGATCCGCCGAGTCCGGGGCGACCCACGGGTCAGCAGCACTGGCACGGCCCCAGTGAGTAAAGCCCGCGGCCGTTACATCCCTACTCGTAGTTGGAGCTCCGTCGTCTTCAGCGACCTCAGAAATTTTGGGACCCAAATGCGATGAAGGCGGGAAAGACGATGACGGTGCTGTCAAGGCTGCCGATAGCTTCCTCGCCTCGGCTGCCGTTGTGACTGCAGCTGCTGCCGACGCCGCTGATAACTTCCGTGTCTCCACCGACGATGATGATGGAATTGCCGATTGCTCTCTTGTCTCGGCTGACGGCTCCGATGCTGTCGACAGCTTGCGTGCCTGCGCCGCCCCTGCTGCCGCCACCGACGACAGCTTCCGCATCTCCGTCGCCGCTGCTGTCGAGGCGGTGTCGGCGCCCTCCCCATCCTCGTCGCTATCAAAGTTCGACCCCGCGCCCCGGCCCCGAACCTGGAATTGAGCCGAGTTGAGAGATTTGAGCGGGCTTTGGAGGGACAAGGATAGTTGCTGTTGCTGGATTGCAATAGCAGTAGCAGAACTGTCGTCATCTGTCTCCCGTTGCAGCCCCAGCTGCAGCGATTGCTTGGGTTCGTGGATGCCAACGTCTGGATCTCGCTCCACGGCCGGTTGAGCCTCGGAAAGGGGCGAGCTCTGTTGCAGCAGCCGCGGCCGCAGCACAGGGGCCACACAAGAAGGTGGCCGTGGCGGAGCAGCCATTCAAGATGAGCGAAGTCCGGAAAAGGTAACAAGAGATATTAGATTTTACAGGACACGGCGAGTAAACAAGCAATCCTTCCGAGTTTTAAAAATAGAAATAAAAGCCTGATACTTATATGCGTATGTTTTGAGGAGCTACAGTTTGGAGGGTACGGAAGCGTATATATACTTGTACAAAAAAACTCTTGTGCCGTGTAAACCGCTTAGGTGTTTTGATTTAATACAGTAATAAAATATTGAAAACGCCATGTGATCTATAGCACAAAACTGGCCAAGTTATAGCGTTTGAGCATATGGGGTGCCGTAGGTTGCTACTGTTGTTATTGTTACAGTGAGCTCCAGGCTCATGCTACTGCGTTGCAGTTCGGCCGCCTGCAAGATCATCTGCAAAAACTTCCTAAACCCTTCCCCCAAAAATGAATTAGAGCGGGTCTGGATTACAACGCCAACGCAAATTTCAGATAGCTCAAGTTATAACCACAAAAGGAAAACCAAGCAGCGAAGTTATGTCTCAAGGCAGTCGTAACAGACGGTTTTGCGGAAAGGAAAAAGTGATCACTTGTCCGCCTGCAGGTTTTTTAGTTTGCAAATTGGTCGTCTAGGTTACAGCGCGAGTTTATGCATCCAGCGCAACTTGTAACCTCGAGGACACATATTGGCCTTCACTCGTCGCGCAAAGCAAGCATGGCATGAAGGCCTTGCTACAGGAAGAGAGGGCAACCAAATCGACCGTTGGTCCTTTAAAACAATCCTTTTTACCAAAGCGCCTAAGTTACAATTTCGCGAAAATCGAATATTTTCACTCTGCACAAGCGAGGCAATAATAATAAAACGTACTTATGGCAGACATTTTGGGGGATTCAGCTAAAACGATCGGCGATCGGTCGTCTGCTTGACATTTCTAACCAAAACTTTTAAAGCAACCCAATCCTCGATCTCACGGCGCACCTCCGGGTCCTCGTCTTCCAGGACATCCCGCCAAATGGGATTCTCGTAGCCGGATTTCCGAGGCATCCCGCCGGGGCTGACCGCAACGTCCGCCAGGCTCACACCCGCGGTGCTGCCGGCAGCGCCTGTGCCGCAACCGCCGGCAGCCCCGCCAGCAGCAGCAGGTGTACTGGTAACGGAGGCCCGGCCGGCGGTGCCCGGGGCCAGCTGCCCCCCGGCCGCATTCAGGGCCTGAGACTTGCCCACGGGGAAGCGACAGGGTGTGCAGGGAAGACCCCACGAAGAAGTCGGCGCGAGCACGGGTGCGGACATGGAACGGGAAATGGAAAACGGGCAACGGGGCGTGGTCGGCGGCGCGCGCGCGCGCGAAATCGAGGGGAGGCGCGGAAAGAGGCTGGGAAGAGGTTGAAATGAAGTTAGAGCGAGACTAAGGATTTGACTGGGCACGTGCTAAGGGGCTTAAGGAAGGGGAAGCGATTGCGCTCTGGGACATAGATCGGAGATAAGCAAGAGGGCTGAACGAGTTAGGCGCGCAGGTGAGTGCAGGGGGGGGAGGGGGTTGCGACTATTGAGCGTGCGTGACTAGGCGGGCTAATTAGCGCACAAACCCGCACCGCGCTCACCTGTTCGTATTGACGGTCCGCGGCCTCATCATCGTCGCTGCTGCAGGCGCCGTACCGTTCGTACTCGCCGGGTAGTGATAGGTCGGATCCATCAGAGAACCCGCTGTCTTGCCGGGCCTGAGGGATCGATTACGACAGCAACGGCATTTTTTACAACTGTTACGCATTGACATGAACGACATACACACACATACATACATACATACATACACAGCTCATGAAAACGAGGGTTGGAGGAGTGGCAAGCGGGTTTACGGGATCTTGACAGGCAAATGGCGACCCCACCGCCCCGTGGCGCAAAGAAAGGACAGTGGGCCGCGGGGAGAGGTGGAGTGTGGATGTGCGTTCGGAGGAGATCTGCGCACCGCAATGGCGGGACAGCAAGGTACCTGTCCTTTAGCTCATTCCACTTACAACAACAACCTTCACCCCCTTGCCCTTAATTCGACTTAAATGACCAACATGGACAGCAAGAGGCGAGGGGGACAGGAAGGGGGAGAGAGAGAGAGAGAAACGCGAGGAAAGAAGAACCGGGAAAAACACACCAGTTTCACGATGTCATTCATAGCTACCCACCAGGGCATTGCCACCGCTGCTCCCACCGCCACGTCGGGATGACTGGCCCAATGGTGATGGACGGATGGGCGCGTGCGGCCCCGCAGCGGGCTTCCGGCCTCCGGCAGAAAGCGGCCGCTGCTGGGGCTGGGGCTGCTGGGGCTCCACCTCTTTCTGCGGCGGCTGCAGCGACGGTGGCGGCTGAGGGGTTGGATCTGCCTCCGGCTTCACTACTGATGCTTCCGGAAACTCCGCCCGTCCGCCCGTGTCATGCGCGGCTGCGACGACGGAGTTGGCATCCTTGCCACCAGCTCCAGCCCCTAAGTCCTCTTCCTCCTCCTGCTCCTCCTCCTCTTCTATCTCCTCCTCCCCACCTCCACGCTCCTGCTGCTGTAGCTGCTGCTGCTCCTCCGCAAACCAATTATGAGGGCCGCCCTCCGCCCTCGCTGCTTCCCCCAACCTCCCATCACCTTCCCCCCTCTCCACCATCTCGTCCTCCGGCCACTCCCTGTCAGCCATCACCTCCTGCACACCTTTCTCCTCCTTCCTCACCCCGTCCCCCGCCGGCTCTTCTACCTCTTCCTCCTCATCGTCGTCATCAAAGTCCGAATCGCTGCTAGGCGATGGAGAGCGGGACCGCTGCCGACCTCCATCCTCCTCCTCGTCCTGGCGTGCCGACAGCTCTGCATCCTCGCTTCCCTGTTGCTGCTGCTGGCCATGTAGCGACTGAGTACACCGCATCGGCTGTCGCTCCTGGGTTTGACGGAGCTTATCTTGGCCGCAGGAAGATTCCTCGGCGGGTGTTGATCCAAAAGAGCCCCGAACCCGCTGCTGCAGCGTCTGTTGTAGATATGGTTGCTCTTCCTCCTGCTTCTCGTGTTCTTTTCCCTGTTCTCGCTCTTGCTCGTCGTTTTCTTGTTGTTGGCGCTGTTGCGAGTAGATCAGCGCCTGCGTGGTGTCACGGCGGGGAACAAAAAACACAATACACGCGGAGAGGCAGTGCGCAGGGAGGTGGCAGGTGGGAGGGGGGAGTTGGCTGTTAGCGGGGTTAAGGCGGGGGGCAAAACCCTCATTCTGTTTGTCCTTCCCGTTCCTCGCCCGCGCAACGCCCTCCACGAGCACCCTTTCTCTGTTAGTCCTCTTCATCCCTCCTCCTAATACGTACACCATGAACCACCATTCATTCCATTTGCAACCAAACCGCATCTCAGAATTCCCAAACCCCCTTATGACGTCTCGTGTACAGCTTGTATTCTGAACGCGTAGTACAGCTCGAGTAAAAGTCCATTTGCGTTTTCCCGTTAAACGTGTCGCAAACAAACACACATATAGACACGCAAACACATATACATACATACACACCACAGGGTCAGCTTACATCCTCCTTCAGAGGCCCTTCCGCAACCCCCGCTCTCAAATTCCCGCTTGTTCATGATGCCGCATCTTCATGTTTCCCACCCGTCAATCCCTCAACGAACTGACCGTTGGCGATGAGCCCGGTGGCGGGCTCTCTGCCTCCGCCGTAAACTCCTCCACGCCGTCCTCCTCCTCCTCCTCCTCCTCATCATCATCATCATGGCCACCCCGCTGCTGCTCCTCCGTCGCGTTCTGGCCGCTGTTACTGCGCGGCTGCGTGTGGGTCCCAGCCGCAGCTCGCCCCGGACCCAGATTGGAGGGGCTCTGCTGGAATAATGTTCCGCTGGTCCGGCCGTGGGGACCAAAGGGCGGAGCAGGAGCGCCAGCTCCGCTTCCGCCGCTGGCCTGCTTGCCGTTGAGAGAGGCGGGCTGAGAGCCCGGGGTTGCGGTGGGAATGGGGCTGAGCTCCTGCACGTCCTCGAGGTCCACCTGGGGGAGGGGGGACGGGGGGAGCGAGCAGTTGGGTACAAGGTTAGGCTGGGCTAGGGGCGGCACCAGGGAAATGAAGCGGAGCAAAGCCAGAGTTCAGTTACAGCAATAGAATCAAGAGGAGCAAGAGGAGGGGAAGCAGGAGTGAGAAGGGGCGCAGCAGCAGCAGTACGGCACCAGGACGATGAGGAACATCAAACGTACGAGTAGGAGGCAGTTGCCGGTGTGGGCCCACCAAAGGTGTGGAAAGGCTGGGGGAGACCGTAGGGCGACATGGCCCCGGACGATGCGGCCCTCACCCCTCACACGTTCCTATTTGCTTTCAGATCTAAAATAAGGGGTTTGATTTGGATATCCCTTATAGGCCCGACGCAAAGGACAACCATGCCTCAGCGGGCTATTCCTCCTCATTCATACGACCGTGGCTCTCCTCCTTCACTTCCCTATCCACATTCCTCATCTTCAAAAGGAGAGGACCTTCGTTGTAGGGCTGGAGAATGAGCACGGGGCCGGGAGGCGGTGTGTGGCCCCCCGAAGATGCTTTGAATGTCTGGATGTCACGTCTTGAGACGCCGGGACAGAGGGTCGACCCTTTGCCTCTTCTGGCATGTAAATTATCCCGCTGCCCTTGCCTACGTTGGTTCAAGTCCAGGGGGTTGGCGGAGGAGGTCTTCCCTCCTTCGCCCCCACCTCTCCCCCGTCCGGATGGGGGGCCTTCAGGGGCCATCCTTACCTCGATGTCCTCTACATCCGCTTCCTCCACCTGTTGGGATTGCTGTCGGGGTGTGATGTTCCAATTAGCCGCCTGCATGACGTGGTGCATGAGGTGGAAGAACTCCTTGGCATCAGGAAAATAACACTAATCAGGAGTTGCAGGGGAGGGGAAGGAGAAGCATGAGTGGGTTTCACTTGAGGTGCATGAGGAGGGGGAATCCAGTTCCCAGTTCACCACCATCTCCTCCAACCCAGAGTCGCACCGGGCTCTTGCGTGAGCCACGCAGCCTCTAGCATCGTGCGCACCAAATTGCCTCAGCCTTCCGCTTTCCCCCTTCTCCTTTCCCGGCAGTCACGTTTTCCCTTTCGGGCCTGCCTCTTCGCTCGTCATTCACTTCGCCTCTTCCGTACTCTCCCATGTCTGAGGCCCTTGTGCATCCAAACCATCAACTCCCTCCGTTCAAACCCCTGTTCCTTTTAAACGTCCTTCCGAACCCGACCTTGGGGGCAGCTGGCGGACTTGGCGGCGGGGCAGGAATCAAAAGAGGCTGTGGCCGTTTTCCGGTGTTATTCTGAGGCAAGCTGCTCCCGGCCGCTTCTACCGGCCCCTCGGCTGTCGTGGACGTCGCGGAGGCCTGCTGCTGCTGCTGCTGGGGTTCGCTGTGTGCACCCGTGGGTGGCGTCGGGGAAGGAGTCGCGGATCCGTTAGCGGTGGCTGCTGTGCTGCTCCCAGTTGCTCTGCCGCTAGGCGCAGTTTGGGTCTGCCAGCCATTACCAGTACTTCCTGTCGCTTTACTGGGAGAATTGTCTGGCAGAAGAAAATTGGCAAGGAACTCAAGTGTGTGAGGACAGGATAAAGGTTACGAAATCGAGTTTAAATTACATCAAAAGAAGTATTGATGGAGTGCAGCGAATAACTCTAGCTGTTAGGACACAGGTGTGACGGTTTGAGTTGCAACGTTCGGACATGGGTTGGCGCGAACATACCAGTTTTCGGCTTAGGAACCGCTGGGTCGAGTGGTGCCGATAGGTCACTTAAGTCCTGCTTTCCTCCGCCAAAGCAAAGGCAGCCCATCCTGCAGGTCCCTGAAGACAATTAAATGCAAGCGAGTCACTGAAGCCCCGACCCCAGCTTCCATGACAGTCTTGCAATTTAAGCCCCAAGGCGTGTGAGTGCTTTAGATGCAGGTTCACGAGGACGCGACGGAACGACAAACGACAAATCCTTCACTCACAAGGTAAATACAAATTCCCTTAACCCAGCGCAGCCCTACATAGTGGAGCTGAATTTCTTTTTGTGTTCAAATTTTGGTTCATACCTTTAACCCGCAGGAAGCCAGCGAAACGGGACTCGTGGTGTCGAGTCTACTCCCGCTTAGACTTAAAGCGATCGGCTACCCTTGAGGAAGCCAGGTTGGACAGGAGAACGTTCAGTAACGAGACGTCCGCTAGGCTCGTAAGAATTTCCAGTATCCCTATGCCTGTTACTGATGTTTCAGTCAAAGTCTGAAGCATGTGCAAGTGACGTAGACCTTTCATGAAGTACTCATGACTGAAAAAAAATTGTGCTTGAGATAACAAAGGAACAGCGGGGCCAAAAGTCTTCCCAGTTTCCGTACGCTTGGGGGCCTACCTTCTTCACTTCCAAACCGTGAAGCTTTAAGGACAATTAATTCTAGTGAAAATATGAGATTTCTCCTTGCTATTCTAGCCCTGGCATACGAAAGCACCTTCGGTGCTGCTGAATTGCCTATTGGCGTCCCTTCCGTGGCCACAGCGATCCACAGCACCGCCTCCACAAATTCCATCCAACAAATACTCTCGTATGATAAACATGCACAAAATTTGCCGAACCTGCCCTCCCAGACGCATCACCAGTGACCGTGGCGGCGGCAGCCGCTGCAGCAACAGCAGAATTGGAAGCAGGACCTGATCCCCCCGAGCAAGCTCTCATTTGGTGGTGCCTAGGAATTGGGTCTCAGGTGCGAAGCAATAACTTGTAACAGCTCGTCCCGCATGTCGTACGGCGCGATGGGCCATGTGTCGCTGATTGGCAACGTCAGGCAAGTACGGCCATTGACCATCGCCTCACTCATGGGGGGACGACATAGATGCGCAGAGGAGTTTTTCACCCACTTCAACTGCTGCCAAATGCTTCATGCAAACAAGTGCGATTGGCCTTAGCGAAGTGGCTGTGGCATCATATGACATGGCCCGCCTCCCCATGTAGGGTCTGTGGCCTCAAACGCCGTCGCATCCTGCTTAACTATCTACACACCTCGCTGTCTGTTTACATATTAACTTATCTTTCAGCTTACCTATCTGCCTACCTGCCTGCCTGCTTGCCTACGGACCTGCCCAGAGGGGAGGGGGGGCACAAGGATCTGCCCCACAGCTCACAAAGGTGAAGCTTAATGTTACGATTCTAACTCGGTTTCCAAAGTTATTTGGAGTTATGTGCCAAAAATTATTCGCTGCCTACCTTCGCAGTACGGCAGTGGCCGTGGTGGGTCAGGTGAATTCGTACCCTCTCACTGACTTCCTTTCGTCTTTTTCCGCTCCCCATCGGTATCTGTTTACAGACGCTTGACTGAAATTCCTATTTCCATGAAAACTGCGATATCCTTGCCTGCTATAAAAAGTTTACATAATTATTACAAAAAGTAAATCATTTAAAGGTCATCGCATACGCACGGTGTATTTTGTCCCTTGATGCTGTCAGCCAGCCTCTGCCAGTATGACTGGAACATGATAGCCTCGGATAGCTAAATTGTCGCCAAGGTGAAATCAAGATTTATGCTTGATTTATTGCTTTAAATCAATCATTAAAGCAATACATTCCAAAGACGTCTGTCGTGCAGAGCAAGAAAGAATCACGCTGTTGGAACTTGGATGCCGGAGGCAGGCTGCAGCAGTGGAGTATGCGTGCCGCTCCCCACTGAAGAGGTTCATGAGCCGCAGGAGCATCCCATGCCGGCATAACGCGACACCGACAGCCGTGATGAGGTTCTGCAATTGCAAGCCCCGTAAATCATCGAGAAATTCAGGTGCCTGCCGTCCAGACACATCATACCTTCCTTGATTCCGCAGCCAGGACCTGCAAGGCAGAGGGTTGGACAGCGGCAGCACGGCACGGCACGGCAAAAAGGTGGATGCCGCGAATTGCGTGGCGTAGTAAGCACATGGTGATTGGGGGGAAAAGGCAAAGGCTGCTCACTAAAAACACGCATTGGCTCCCGACCCACACCCACCTTGTCAGCATCGAAGTTCGAGCAGTGCGTCACACCAATCTGCTGTGACGCATGACCGTCCAAAAGCACCTGCTGTATCGATGCGTTGGGCAAGAAGTAACGGCGCCGTCCTAGCTGTGTGTAGCCAGAAACGTAGCCCTTATGGGACAGCAGGTTTAGCTTAAAGCAGGCATCGAAATGTACCGAGTGCAAGCTCGTGGGGCCAGGCCCTGCGGCTTCGGGGCTGCAGGTGTCCCGAAGCAGCCAGTCAGTCGACGCGAGCACTGCCGCCCCTAGCACTTCAGCGCCCGTGGACACCGCTGCCGCCATGGTTTCTGGGGCTGCTGCGCCGGCTGACGGGACTGGGGGGACGGGATTGCCCTCAGTGGCGGCAGGGCTGCCTGCTGCCGCCACCTCTGTGCGCTCCAGTCCAGGATCCGGCCCCTCCACTGCTGCTGCTTCTCCCACGACCCCCGGCGATGCGGCACCTGTAACAGGGGCTGGGGCGGCTGCGGCCGCACCATTCACTGCACTGCTGCACCTGAGAGTGTCCCCACAACAAGGGCACCCATTCAGAGCTCCACGGGGCCAGGTGCTAAGTGTGCCCTCCGGGTAGTCATCCACGACGCCCTGGCAGTCCATGTACAGGAGGAGTGCTTGCCGAAGGCGTTTACGAAGTGTGGTTGCCGAAACAGAAACTGGACGGCGGATGCCATTTTGCTCCCAGGTGTCAAGGAGTGCAGAGCAGAACGCGTCCGCACTCAGGTGCCTGCTCCTGAATGACACAAGGTCGAACAGCTGCAGGAGCGACTGGTGCCACCAGAGAACATGCTGGCCGTCTCGCTGGAGGTGGAGGTCCCACCCAGCCTTAGCGTCGGGTAGGCAGTTGAACTCTGTGGGACGCATGTTATGAAACGCCCGACAGGGTGTGCACCAGCACACAGGGACATCTACGCATATGGGTTGCTCCCAAGTAATGATGGTCACAGGGCAGGTCCGTCCCCCTTCGGGGGAGCGCACGGCGCACCGGGGGCACGCCTCAGGTCTGCTTCCCGCCAGGCTGCGAAGTATGCCAGCGCTGCTGTTCAGAAAGCAAGTCCGGCTCTCCGCGGCTGCTGCAAAGTCACGCACGTACGCTTCCCGCACATCTTGTGCTAACGTGGACTCTGGTCCGGGCTCTGGTTCTGGTTCCTCCTCGGCTGCGCTGAAACCGTCAGCATCTTCCGATGCTTCCACGTCGCCAGCGTCTTCACGGTGAATCGGATCAAAATCTTCGAGCTCATAGGTCGCGTCGTTATCAATGTTCACCGGCGCCTCTTGCGCATTGGCACTTGGGACAGCTACGTTTGTCGAAAGGCTCGGGGGCTGGGCATTCCGAAGCTGCTTTGCTCTATCCCGTCGCCTTTTATTCCTCTTTGCATTGGCAATGCTCTTCTTAATGGGGTCCTCGACCTTAAGCTTCATCAGCGAGTGAAGTTGGTAAGGCAAAGCTATTGTTTGTATTCACCTAACCAACAGAGCCAATTTCGCTTACTAACTGTCTACCTCATGCAATGGGAAATTTCGTTTGAAGCATTGGTTTGCTGTAGGGATGGGTAGTATATGCCGTACAAATTGGTATGGTGCTGGGCCGTCGGGAAGGTCGCCGGGATTGCGGGAAATCGATGGCGCTAGGCGGCGCGAGTCACTCCTGGACCTTCCCTAACTGGTCGGGCGCGTCCGGTGAGGGCGCTTCAGCCACGACGAAATACTCCCCAGGGAAAAT